TAAAAGGGATTACACATGCTGATATTTTTATGAGTACTCTGTTAGTATTATTAGAGACTTGTTTCATTTTCACACTCAAAGAAATATATAAAACGATTCAATAAATATCTTAATGCCTATGTCTCAAAAATTTGCTGAAAAGCAACATACATGCAATATTCATTGAATTGCTTTTAGTTGGAAGCTTGTCTTTTATTTGAAATTGGAAGAACTCATAAAAATACATTTCAATGAAAAAGCAAAGCTTGTAGAAATAGCAGTCACCAGAAATACATCTAATGATTATCAATGGTGGCAACAGTTTATTTTATTTCCAGGGTCTGCATATAAAAGGAAGCAGAAACTTCTCATTCTACCATGTTTTTATTACTGATGCCCATTTTTTTTCACCACCATGATTTGAGGAAAACACAAGGAAGGAAAGTTTGTTTGCTTTCCCCTCGCATCCTGTGTTTGCCCCACAATCCTTACCTCCCCCATCACTAAGTATTCTGGTGATGGGAAAACAGAAGGAATTGGAGAGACAAGAACTGAGAAAAGTTGGCAGAAGAAGAAAAGGAGGAGGAAATTATTGACTAAATCTTTGTGGTTCATATATACCCAAAAGTTAAAAATTGCCAAAAGAGGAACCATGGGTATTTATTATTTAAGAACTGCTGAAAGTCGTTCCGAGAATCAGCAGGATTCTTGTAATAGCTGATAAAAGAAGCTGTAGGGCAAAGAATTTTATGACATTTTTTTTTCTTGATAAGAAATATATCCTATTTTTACCCTTGCTTTAAAAAGCCTGTCATAGTTCTTGCTTCTGCAACATAAATGCAAGAAAAAGTTGGGCTTCAGTTTAACCCCAGCCTTCCTTTCCTCTTGTTTATAGTTTTTGCATTTGTGTTTCTCTGTTTCCTGATTTCAGATAGAAGAATTAGATGAAATTTTAAGTAAAAAGTGGACATAAAAAAAGAGTCTTTTTTTTTTTTTGAGAATTCTCTTGGCAAATCCATAAGTTTGGAAGTTTCATTATACTTTCTTAGTTATATTCCTGTGAGATAATAGAAAATTGTATATAAGTATAAATATAAATGTATGTATGTATCTATCTATGTTTCTGCTCCCAGTTCCTGGCACTGAATTCCTAAAACTCTTGTAGTTTCCTACGAGATGAAAGCACTAGGAGCATCTGACACAAAGTTCCTAAATCCCTTGAAATTTCTAGGGTACTAGGAGTCCCTTCTATTTTAATGAGGTGAGGACACTCAGTGGGCTCCTGGATGGAGGCCTGGTCACCAGAAAGTGCAAGCTGTGATCAGAAGTTTGGAATTATCAATCCCACTTCCCCATTCTCCAGAGAAGGGAGAAGGCCTGAAAATGGAGTTAATGATTATGCCTACGTCATGAAGCCTCTATAAAAATCCTGGAAGTACAGGCTCAGGGAGCTTTGGGGTTGGAGCACGCGTGGAGGGGCCGGGAGAGTGGTGTAGCCAGAGAGGGCGTGGAAGCGCCACACCCCTTCCCACGTACCTTGCCCTATTCCTCTCCTCCAACTCTATGTTCATCTATATTCTCTATCATATCCTTTTGGAACAAACTGGTCCCTAGCTTACTGCTCCTCTGGAGAGGCTCTAGAAAATTAACCAAGCCCAAGAAGGAGGTTGTGGGAATCTCCAATATATAGATAGCCCATTGGTCAGAAGAAACTGGTATTTGAAGTGAGGGGGGCAGTCTTGTGGGGCTGAGCCTTTAACCTGTGGGATATGACACTGTCCCCAGGTGAATAGTGTCAGAATAGAGCTAAATTGTGGGGTACCCAGCTGGTGTTGCAGGATTGCTTGGGATGGGAAAAACCTCCACACATGTGGTGTCAGAACTGTTTTAAGTTTGGTAGTAGTGTGAGAGTAAAGGAAAGACACCTAAGGGGAGGGCTGAGTGTTTCTTTACAATTCCTGAGGCCCCCCTTTGTGCATAAAGCATGAGTCTGGATTTCAGGCATTATTTCTATGAACATGTTTTAATGGCCTGAGTAACTTCTCCAAATCAGTTACAATGAACCTCTGAAGTAACAGTTATCTAACTTTTACCTAAATGTTCAATGTTGACACAATGTCAGTAGAACAACTTTTTTGAGGTACATTTTTTTCCTATAAAATTTATTACAGAAGCTCTTTGTTAGGAACACAAATTTTTTTTTGAATTTTAGAACCATCTGGAATAACAACCTAGCTTTAATAAAGGAAGGAATTGGATTTAAAATTTGTTCAACAAGATATAATTTTTTTAAGGAGGATGGTACTAAAATTTTTGCAGAAACCAATGAATAATCATGGACAATTTGAAAACTCCAGTTTCAAACTGGAGTTATACTGGAACTTCTACTATAATATGTTGTTTCAGAGTCTTTGATCATTGATCCAATGCAAATTTGATAAGAAGAACACAAGTTTGACTTCTTGGTCAAATTTCCACAAGGCTTTCGTAATCACATCACACTTTACTCTCTTGAAGGGCTTCTTGCATTTATTGCATTGTATTTATAGACAGCAATTAGAAATTGCATGATTAAGATTATGAAGAGATTTGTTTCAATGAATATTCCTGAGTCTGAATTCTTGCTGTTATGTGTCTCAAGGTGACATTAAATTAATATGGTGGCCAGAGGGGCAGGGGTGGCTGTGCTGGGAGACGTGGGAAGATGGGCGGCTCCCTCAGGCTTAATCTGCAGCCCTCTGTGGATTGTGGTCAGGGAGCAATGGGAAAGGAGGGGGCATTGTGCCTGTGTGAGCACCTCTCTTGTACACACCGGACTTTCCACCCTCTTCTCTTTGCTCTATTGTTCATTCCCTTCCAAATCTTGAGGTACATGAGGAAAGAGTTTAGTATGTTTCTACAATAGAACATAGTACTGAATCAGCCTACACAAAATTAATGCAATTACTATGTTGATTTCCAGATGCTAGCTTAATGCCAGTTTATTAAAATTTCTAAAGATGAAGATTAAAACAAACATTCTGAGTAAATACCCAAATAAAGATAGGTCAGCAAATTTAGTGATAATCTGAGGCATTGGAAAGAATTTCCAGATAGGGCAGTTCAAAAAGTGATTTTCTCCACCGCTGACTGGGAATAGACGGAATTGCCTCAGGCTCTCTTCTGTCTTCTTCCTAAAGAGCCTCCAGACTCCTGGCTGCCTCTTTCGAGTTATGCTTCAGTCTTCCCTCCCCATACCCTCCCCACCGCCCACCCAAATCTTCAACCACGTCCTTCTGACTTCCTTGCTGTGCCTCACTGGGCTGGCTTCTTAATTAAAGTTTTGATATTCAAGGAAAACACCCTCCTTTTGTTCAAAAGTATCTCTCTTTCTTTGTCTTGCCTTCCCTGGGCCTTGCAGGGCAGGGGCCGGGAGGCCAGGAAGGCACACAGCGCAGGCCTCATGCACGCCTCTGTATTTCCTAGTCCTGTAGCCTGGAGCCAGTTCCTGTTGTTAAAGAGGCTTGGTTTTCTCATTTATACATTTTTGGATAATAACACCTATTTCCTTTGATTGAAAGTGTAAAAGAGAGAATTCACATACATAGTGCCCGGTATACTATAAAGCTCAGTAAAAGGTGTTATTATGAACTCAGGGTCTTTCACCACATTATATTCTCTAAGTTTTCCTGTTTCTATCTATAACTGTGAAATTATTCTGTTTCTTAGAATGGCTTAATTTTATTTTTGTCCTAAAGCAGGTTTTTGTTAAAGTTCTAGACTCCTGGAAATTAAAGTGGACAAGAACTCAACGACTAGTTACAGTCTACCATTTCATAGCCTGGAATGTTTGGTTCTACAATACTACAGAGAAGGTAAATTTACCACTTTCATATGAATTGTTTTTGTGGTAATATTAAAGTATTGCAAAATTGTCTTAAGTTTAATTTTATTATTCTTATTGATACTCTTTGTACTAGGCTAACTAAAACAAATACCAAGAACACATATTTTGAGAGGTAAATGAAATTAGCTTCTTCAATACTTTAAACAAATCCAAAGTTGAACAAAATTCAGTCCTAACTTGCTCATTTTTATTCTCCAAGATAAAAATCTTGTAGTGTCCAAATCATTATAAGGAAGCAACATTATTCTGAATGGCAATCCAAATAAGGAAATGTAAAAACTAAACAGTAATATACAGTTCTTATAAAAGTTTCAAAAAGTGTGACTATTAAGATTGATGGATACAACTATTCATGCATTTCATTTATTAATAATTACATAATTGTCTTCAAACTTACGTATGATTATTTTTCAATGTATATTTTATAGTCAATAGTTACTACTGGAGGAAAATTCTTGGTTATTTCTGGGTCATAGATAAAAGCATATACACCAGGTCCAGTGGTATAATCATAAGGCCCTGAGGTACACCTCCAGAGATATACCCTAAGGATTTGAACTGCAATTGCCCCTTAAACTATTTTTATTGCATTGGCTCTTGGAGGCCTTGCTTTATTGCTCTAGCTATTTTAATTTTAGACAGAACATCTTACATGGCCTTTTGTGCTAGTTTTTTCTCTTTCCCTTTTTGCTGTTGTTATTTGTAATTACTATTTTTACCTTTCCCAGGACACTTTCCCAAAGAACATATATTTCTCTGTAATCCCTTGAGTTTCTCAGGGCTAGCATTGTTTAGCACAGCTGTATCAGGCCTGTTCTAGGTTCCAGAGAAATACTCTATTTAGATTCCCAGAGGGTACAAGGAATTTTATGAGAAATTCAAATAGTGAGCAATTGTACATTTCTGCCTATACATGCATTTCCCTTCCCACTGAATTCACACAATTTATGCTTCTTTATGACTTATTCATTCATTCTGTTTATTGTATGAGTATAAAATAGAAAAATGAGATTAGGGGCTTTGAATTGTCACATGATGCTGTAAGTGACAAAGTGATTTGGTCATGGCTCATCATTCTTTTAGATGTGTGTAAAAGACAAACCAGGCTGGATTCCTGGTGTATTTGCACGCTTACCTTGTCTGACAGCTAGTGTGGTGGTATAGACCAAGAAAAGAAGGATGTAATTGAGGAAACTCTGGAAGACAGGTGTATTGGCATGGAAATCTTCTGACAAGTACTTGCTGGTCAAGCCAATTCCGCAAATAAGTAAGGATAACACCTGGCCCAGAGCCACAGAGATTAACATCTCCCTGAAAAATAAAGAGAAACACAGCAAAGATCAGCAGGAAGTCCATTAAGACAACATTTAAAATTTATTGAGCACTTAGGTTATACACTGAGCTAAGTACAATAAATAGTATTTCTTTTAATTTGTCAAAGCAGTCCTATGAGGAAGGTACAATTGTTACTGAGGCTTTTCAGGGGAAAATCTTAAGCTTAGAGGGAGAGGTTAAGAAATTTGCCCCCATTCCATAACTAGGAAGTGGCAAAATGGGAAGTTGAGAATAAACTCTCCAAGTGATGCGGGCTTCTAGCCACTGCACTCCAGAAGCCTGTGGGGAAAATTAACACCATTATGATAACTGAGTCTTCAGAAGTCTTCAGTGTTCTTCTTGAACACTGACCAAGAAGGATCATATTCCAACCTTATCTTCAGGCTCTCATACTAATTACAGAGGCTCTTTTTTTTTTTTTTTTTTTTTTTTTTTTTACAGATAGACATCTTGGGTCCAGGGACACTTATGTGAAGGGAATATACAAATCCCTGAAAATACAGAAGGACCCTCTCCTCTCCATTCCCAGATTTGGGTTCTTGGTTTGCTCTAGAAAACATTCGTAAGCACTAGTATCTGCTCTCCTCTGCTTAAGTTATAATTGCTGACACATTAAGACTATTATTCATGGAGGAAAATTTTTACTGACTGAGGTGGTCAGTTGAAATGAAACATTTCAAGATCTGTAAATATTTTCCATGGCTTCTTCATAGGCACTTCCCCTGCAGGCCACTTCAGCAGGATTGGGAGGCAAGATTAAAGCGATTCACTTTGCATGGGCTTAATGCTCACATATACCTGCGTGTCCTGACACAGGAAAAGCCCCTCGAAACACAAAGTAGGCTTCTGCCCTCCCCCAAGTCTCATATGACTTTCCTAGTTTATTTATAGAAACAGCTATATAAAATAAGCCAGGAATAGTATTTCTAAACAAAAAAGCATTATGCCAGGATTTGCAGTTACGTATTCTCTCCCCCAGAGGAGATGTGAATCCATCTTTCAGGAACGTGCAGAGCCCTTGATGGTATCTTGCTTTGGTAAAGGGGGAAAAATTGAGACAACTGTGATAGAATAAACATGACTTTAAAATCTTAAAAGAAATAAAATTTTAAAAAAAAGTACCCATCATATTTTGTTCATTGTATTTACTTCCACGAGAAGGAAAACTGGCAAGCTATGTGGGTCATGGAAAATGTTTTCCTGAGGTTAACCTATAACATTGGTATAGTCTTCTCACTGGTTGCTCTGTTTCCAAGTATCAGCTCCCCAAACACTGCATTCAAAATTTAGAAAGGGGTTAAAGAGATTTTTTAAAACATATAAGTTTAAAATGTCAGTCTGCTGCCTAAAATCCTACAATGATACCCTATAAGATGCAGTGATTTATAATGCCTGTGTGGACGGTACACAAAGATGGCTGCCAGCATTTCCTCCCATGCCTCTACATTCATATCTCCTCCCAACAGGAGGTGGGGGTCTATTTTTCTTTTTCTGAAGCTGAGCCAGTCTTGTGACTTGCTTCAACCAACAGAATGTAGGGGAAGGGTATCATGTGACTTCTGGGCCAAAGCTTCAAGAATCCTTTAAAAAATGTTTTTTTTTTTTTTGCCCTCTTAGATTCAGCTTTCATGTTAAAAAAACCCCAAGTTAGACTAATAAATATTGAGAAACCACGTGATCCAGTCAGCCACCAGCACCTCAGCTGAAATGCCAGACATGTGGGTGAGGATATTGGATCTTCCTGCTCCAGTAGAGCCATGCCAGTGAGCATGTGCCACATAGAACAGAGATGAAACATCCCCAGAGATTGCTGTCCAGTTAGAGAACTGTGGGAAATGATCGATGGTTATTGATTTAGGGCATGAAGTTTGCAATGGTTGGTTAGGCAGAAAGAGATACCTGAAACAAGGCCCTAAATACTGTCCCTCTGCCCTACCACCTCTAAAGCTTTACCCCCTGCTTTCCCCATTTATTCCCCCACAAAGCCAGAGCTCGAGCCCTGCAGGGCTCCTTGCACTTCAGCAATGAGTCATAGCCTTCTCTGCCTGTGTTCCCTGGCACGTATCATTTTCATACATTTGTCCTGCCTTTGTCAGCCCAACTCCCATTCAGATTTGAGATCTGGCTTTTTTGCCACCCCTTTGAGAAGCCTTCCTTGCCCCCCTTCACTGGAATGCATCTCTTTCACTTCTATACTATTGTATTGCAGTTACTGTTTTTGACACCTTCTGCTCCCCCTGCTCCCCACCATCAGGTTGTGAGGTTTGTACAATGTATTTATAGCTACTGCGGCTGGGCAACGCCATTCAGAGGAAGAAGGACATGGAAGGACTTAAAGAAAATGCAGAGGTAAGCCTAAATAACACTGAGTGGTTTTGTTGAAATTTAGAGTGATTTTTTTAAAGGCAGAGGTAAAGACAAGTATCAGAATTAACTTTTTAAGCCAGCCTAAGGGACATGTTATATATCTACTCACAAAAAGTGTGATAAGAACAGAGAACAAACTGGTTGCCAGATGGGAGGGGTGTTGGGGGCATGGGTGGAAATGGTGAGGGAAAAAAAAAGTACAAATCGGTGGTCACAGAACAGTCACAGAGATGTACAATGCAACATAGGGAATATAGTCAATAATATTGTAATAACTACGTCTGGGGTCAGGTGAGTACTACAGTTATCGAAGGGAACACTTCATAAGTTAATATTGTCTAACCCCTATGCTGCACACCTGAAACTAATATAATATTGAATGTCAACTCTAATTGAGAAATAAAAAAGTTTTAAATATCATAACAAGGAGTTGGTTTTAGTGGAAAGATAATAAATATTTTTGGTATTGAACGTGATGATGAACCTCCAAATGATCCAGGAATATTGGAATTGTGAGGTTAAAGTTGAATTGGAAGGTCCACCAGGAGATTAATATGAGAAGTGATACACAAGAGATGGCTAACATCCTGGAACTGGATATCACCAAGGAACAAAGAAGAGGAGAGGGACTAAGAAGTCTTAGGGGAAACCTTTGAGGAATCCCCAGATTGGGACCAAGAAAAAAAGAAAAGGCATGCCTTTGGAGTTAGAAGTGGTTAGAAAGCTAAGGGGAAAAACAGGGTAGTTATTGGTGTCAAAGAACCCAAGGGAACAGGTACTTCATGGAGGCAGTAGTTATAATACTACATGTTGCTTGGAGGTAGGGAGAATGAGGACTGATAGGAGATGATTTGTAGTCATTGCCAGCCTTGAAAGACCAGTGTTGGCTGAATGAAGAGTACCATAGCAACGGAAACCAAGGGAACAGAGGATTTCATAGAGGGGATAGTTGGTGGTGAGTAAGTGGACAGAAAGTGTAAGAAATAAAGTTGTTGACTTCAAAGAATTTTGAATAATTGAAAGAATTTTTTGAAGTTTGATCTAATTACCACATAACAATAAGAACAATTACAGTTAAAGTAAGAAAATGTGAAATGATTTAAAAAATTAGTTTACATTGGATTCATGATTATCCTTTGGGTTACTCTTGATTATTTGCATAATAACTTACATCCTTAAGTGGAAGAGAAATGGGGAGAGTGGCAGCTAAGATACCGGACAGCTTGCTCTTGATGCTAAGTATGTCCACTAAAAGATGTCATGGGTGGAGTGTATTTCTTTGGGGAACGAAGGTTGAAAACTACTGCTATGACATGGTAATTGCTAGAGCTGCTTAAATTATAACCATGGCACCTTGAACTTTGACAGTAGCTTGTGCCTTCCTAAACAAAATCAAGCCACACACACAAAAATGACAGACTGCTTACACAAGAGAATTAAATATTAGCCCTTGTGATATCTATGTGCCAATATAACATAAAACAGCTTTCTACACGCCAGGCAATACATATACAAAGAGGAGCAAGACAGCCTTCGTCATTGGGGAGCTACTAGACTGAGATTTTGGAGCTTAGTTTCCACATATCTTACTACGAAATGGAGCCAGAAGGTAAAATAATACTAATTCATATTTAATAAGATTTTACTAGGGCCAAGTCTTGGGCTTAGATTTGTATATATGATCTTATTTAATCCTCACAATAACCTTATAGGGTAGATATTATTTTTGTTCCATTTTATAGATGAGTAAACTGATGCTTAGAGAGGTTAGGAAACCAGCCCAAGATCACAGAGCTAGCAGGGCGAAGAGTTTGCCTGGAAACTACATCATATGATTCCAAATCTTGACCTCTTAATTACTATGCTATACCATCATTATGCTGCTGAAACACACTCTTTGCCCTCACAGAGGGCACAGAACACAGTTTGAGAAATATAACTGACTGGTTGCCAGAAATATTCTGGGGAAGGTGAAAAGGAAAAAAAAAAAGCCATCCTGACTGCTTGATGAAAACTGTTCCACCAAGACTTCTGTAATGTGTGCCTTTCAACAAAAGGTCAACGCAAGTTTATTCTTGTTTCTCCAGCCAAACAAAACAACAAATCTGCTGTATTCAATTTCTGCTTTTAATTAGTAGCCATGTCATTCAGCTGCTGCTATGATTAAATAGAAGATCCGAATTATGATTTTATCCATCATGCTAATAAACATGGCTTGTAAAAGAGGAAGGGATGGAAGGGACTTTTTATCAGACTAGTTCATGAGCCCTTTCCCAACTGCAGGGAGCTGGATATTGCAGCTGTTGTTGCAGTCTGCACAGCTGAGCTAACTTACTAGAGTCACCAAAGCAAAATAAATGAATAAATGAATAAAAATATAAATAAACCTCAATGTTGACATCTTGCTAATTCTACCTCCCCACTCCCTTCATCATCTTCCTTTTATCAAACTCTTTTTTATGACAGGACAAATATTCTTGGTGACTTCTTTCACAGAATGTTCTTCACACCACTCTCTTTGTTAAGATCTTTTCAGCTCATTTACTGTTGCCTTACTCCTCCGAACTTTCTTTTCCATAGATAACCACTGAAGTAGATCTGTGGTACCT